TCTCATACCTTTAAAGAGGCCAATCGCATAGCAGATTGGCTTGCTTTCCATGCATATTCCCTTCCGTTTGGTATTTTCTTATTTGCAAACTGTTCCTTTGGATCGTGTTAGCCTTATCTTAGGAGATATTTATGGAGTTACAATTTCAAAAATGTGTGACACGAACTAGTCTATACAAAGTCTGTGTCTCTCGTTTGAATATTAAAAAAAAATTTAACTATTAACTAAAATGTTTAACACAAGTATTTTAATTAGTTTATCTTTTTACGCATAAAATTATTTTTGAAAACAAATATTTAATAATTATAAAAAACTACCGATACGTGGCCCTTAGACATCAATTATATCAAATATTTCAACAAGAAAGAGAGAGAGATAGAGAGAGATCAAATTTCAAAATTAAATAAGTTAAGATCTTGTTTTTCATGGCTTCCCGTACCTTTTTTCCCCCTTCTTCTTATGCATCTTCAAGCATTAAGCCTTCAGATTTGGAGTAGTGATTGTTGCAAGTGGAATGGAGTTGGTTGAAGCAACACGATTGACCAAGTTACTGTTCTTAATCTTTATGTTCTAGAGGATGATCACTTCTAATCTGACAAGTAATATTAGCAGTTCATCGCTTGAGCTGCTGCATTTGAATTATTTATATGTTAGCAACAATCAAATTCAAGTGAGTCTTCCAAATTTTCATTGAATCCCTAAATGATTTAACATACCTAAATCTTGTCAACAATAGATTTTTTGGAACTCTTACATATCAGTTTGAGAACCTCTCAAAATTGCTCGCTCTTGATCTTAACTTTAATGGTTATTTTTATTTTGAAAGTCTCAATGGGTTATCCTAGCTATCTTTCTTCTTTGGACCAACTGGACCTTAGTTGGAATGATCTTAGCAAAGCTATTAATTTGCTATAAAGGGTTAACAATCTTTCTCGGCCAAAACTCTACGCTTAATTAAGCAAGTGCTTAATTCCTTTCAGTTAAAATTCTTTAGCCTCATTCATTCTTCTACATTCCTAGTTGTCCTTGATCTTTCCAGTAACTATCTTGCTACTTCAATATATAAATCTTTGGTTCCATAATTTCAATAATAATTTTGTTCATCTTGACCTTGCTATTAACCAATTAGAAGGATCAATTCTAGATGCTTTCAGAAACATGATTTTTCTCAAGGAGTCGTAGTCTTGATCTTTCCTTCAATCGTTAACAAAGCATTTCGATTTTTTTTTTGAGAATATGTGCCTTCTCCATACTCCAGACCTACACTTCAATAATCTTACTAGACCACGTTATAAATATATTCAAAACTTATGTGGATACATAGAGAATTCACTAGAGATTTTGGGTTTAACCGATAATCACCTTAGTGGTTCGTTCCCTGAAATTATCATATTCTCTTTCGTGACAGAGTTGGACATTTTTTGGAACCAATTGAAAGTCTCTTTCCCAAGAAGTCTTAAACAACGCTATACACTTGTTTTTGAGTTTGCAAATGAGCAAATTGATTGGATCATGAACAATTATCACAATGTTTCCAGCTTTAAAGGAATTCTGAATTGATCACCATCAATTAGATGGCACTGTCGCCTCTCCCTCTCTTTGTTGAGATATTTGAGACAATTGATGTCTTAGGACCACGTATTTGTTGTTTTTTATAACTATTAAATACTTAAAAAAACAATTTTAAGTGTAAAAAAATACATTTAAAATCCTTGTTTTAAACATTTTAATTAACTGTTAAAGTTTTGATGGTCAAATATATATATATATATATATATATATATATATATATATATATATATTTAAAAAATAATATATTGATAGTTCATTTTGTCAGAGAATAAAATATGTTATTAAATCATTTAAAAATTGGTGGGAACTAATTGCGGTTAGGTGAGATTTTTCTTAAGTTCGCTAAATTTAATGTTGGATATTTAAAAAAGGAACTCTCCTCCTCCTTTCCTAGTTACTTGATTTGATAAAATTAAGTGAGATCTTTAGTGGATTGGTTTATGAGAAAAGTTGATGTAATAATTAAGGATGGATTTACAATGTTTCAAGCACTGCGCACGCTAATACCAAGCCTACGTGGTCCACAGTATACTCTCCAATTTTTTAATTGGAAAACAGTACTTTCTTTCTCACATGGACATCATCCATGAAATCACCCGATTAACAGAAATTGTGACCATAGGGAGAGTTGCACTATCTGCTTGATATATATTATTATAATATTTGTATATACACTATTCACTTGGCATTATTAGCTTTCAACATTTGCTCATACGTGACTTGTGGTTTTTAACATTTGTTAATGTTTTTGTAATCATATTGTTGTCATTTTTGATATTTGTGCAGGCATTGAATATGGAATTTTAACAAATGTTGCATTATGGTCATTGATTTTTTTTTTTAATTATTTTAATTTTTAATTTTATTTATATCACATTCGGTCTCTAGATACAACGAGAAATAAAAAAAGAAAAAGAAAAGAAATAATGCTACAATAAAGACTATACCACCAATTTTGGTTTCGATTTGTTAATCTTGAAAACGAGAATTTGTTTATGATGATCACAAATCATGAAATAGTTGAAGAAAAGAGATCGATATACTCAAATATTTCACTTGAGTTTTTTAATTTGATTTGAATTTTTAAGTAAGAATATTTTTAAGTTTTTGAGTAATAATTAAAATCGAGAAGTGAAAGCAAAAGAGATAATTGATTATTATACACGTGGAGCTTTATATATATATATATATATATATATATATGGTGACTTTGCATGTATGGCTGAGAAACAAAAATATTTATGCAGATTATATACTTCTTTTTTATATAATCAATAGTTATCAAAATTACTTTTATAAGTATTTTTTTTTATTGGAAGTTGACTATGCATATGTACACAAAACACATAACATTTTTTTTTTTTTAATTTTTGGATAGTTTAAAATCAAATTTTCTCAAATGAAATAATTAAAATTATGTTTAGAAAAAAACACTTAATGGTACCATACTTATCAAATCGAGTTTTTTAAATACTAATATTATTGATTATTTTAGAAATATATATTCAAAAATTAATATTCGACAAGACTGAAATTTATATTAATTTTTATTCAATTTTTTTTTACTTTAATTATTATTTTATTTTTTCAATTCAATCTCACGAAAAATTAATTAAATTTACACATATTTTTTTTTGGATTTATGATTAATTAAAAATTGTATTTTAGATTATTATCAAATTTTATTTAAGAATCTATGCAAAAAAAAGAAAAAAATGTGTTTTTTTAGCGAATAAAATCTATTAATAAAACAGAAGGAAGAATTAGTTAATTACAACATTTTGATTAGAAAACATAAAGCTATGTGATTTTGTTTTTTGTCATTAATTTCTATATAGTTTAATGAATTTATAGTATAGCGAAAACCATCGGATTATAATATTTTTTAAATAATTTTATTTGTTTTATCTGATTTGTAGCACAACGCATACGACTATTTAGTTTTTATAATAGAATATCGTGCTTAACTCACTTCTCTTTAAAAAAAAAAAAAACTATTAACGCCGAACTTGACTAAAATTCAAGCACACGATTCCGTTTCTTTCTTTCTTTTTCTTTGTTTTTTTTTTTTTTTTAATGAATTCTTTGCACAATAATTGCTCATGGGATGGTTTAGCAGACCAATCAATAGGGCAAGAGATACAAAGAATTAAATAAGAAATCAAGGATGATTTGTATCCTTGGCATATCTTCACCTTGAACGCCAAGGTATTTTTCACTCAAGTCAATTAATGGTGTCAACTGTCAATTGCTTACCAAACCTAAGAGACGTACAGTCAATCCTATATCATATTCATTTTTTTTAAAAATAATCTTTTTATACCTATTAAAAAAATATTTTTATCCAGTCCATTTCCATTTTAATACACAAGAAAAATAATCCAGCAAAAAAATTTATTCTCGTCCTTGTAATTTTCAAAAAATTTATTTTAGACCCTAGATTAATATTTTCTTTTTACAATTTGTACTTTTATAAGAAATATTTTGATTCTTATGTTATAAAGTTTGTGCAAACATGTCTGTACATATTTTTTTTAAAAAATAAATAGTTATTAGTAGGACATATATATATATATATATATCCATTTCATTAGCCATCACATATTTTTAATAGGTATTTATTGAATCATATAAAATTACTTTTCATTTTATAATTATCCCATGGTCATTCCTACCCAAAGAGAAACAGGGAAAAACAGAATAATTCATATCAAAATAGCCGAATTTCACAAAAAAGGGGAAAAAAAAAAACCCCCCTCAGTGCTCTCTGAAACTCTGCTTCAAAAAGCGCTAGTACAAATTTTCTCGCCCAGGCCAAAGAAAAGCAAACCACCAAGGAGCGCATGCATTTGCATGTCAAGAGCCAGAGACTGGGTTTTTGGTTCTATTTATAAGAAATGCCATGCCTAATTATTAATTAACCACAGATTCTTGATCCAGCTAAACATAATGTCCTTAAAATTAGTTGTAATTGAAAGATATGAGAATTTAGTGATGTCGTCCACAACACCGGCAGAAGCTTGTAAATATCTTAATTTTCATAGTTTTGGTCTACAATTAGAACTTGGGTTATGTACGAGGGACCATATCGATTGCCCATCAAGCCAATCCCCCTCAAATTACATGTGCTACTGAATGGATATGTGTAAAACATGAACTTTAATTATTAGTATTCCCTTGTAATTCTCGATTTTTTAATACACCCGTATTTTTTTTTATTGTATTATGTATTTTGTTGAATCTCTTACATAAAATCGATGTAAAACGTACACAAGCAATTCAGTACTCTATCAATCTGAATTTACATTACTATGAAAAAAATAATAAACCGATCGAAGTTAATTCAGAATATAGTATTATAGATAATTACTTGTACATGCATGCAGCTAGCATTAACTATTAATTTGATTCCAGTGCGTAACCCCTAATTAAGAATGCAAACTCTGAGCTTCTTTTCCGGCACGATCCTTCAACACAGCTCGGGCTGGATGGACTTTCTTAAAGATGGATAAAAAACAGCCAATTTGTTGTTTCACTTCAAGATCAAGCTCATCATCGTCTATCTTAGCTTTCTCTTCTTCCATTCTCTTCAATTTATCATTGTGTAATTTTCGCAACACATATGCTTCAGCTAGACAATACCCGGGAGTTGCCATGGCCTAAAAAATGTTTCGGGCCGTGTAAACTCTAGATTAATTGGAAACAAACTAGTGTACTGATGATGAGTTAAGGGACCTCGATTGGGTCATTATATAAGGGTCTATGACTTGGGGAGGAAGTATCATGAGCTGATTGGTGGTCTAAATGGAATCATCGTAAGACTTGAAAGTGAAATATTAGTAATTTTTTGCTGGACTATGTCACGGCGGCTTAGAAACCTCGTGGAAATGGACAATAAAAAAAAAGCTGGGGAATTTGATTGATTTGAGTGGTTGATTATGTATGCCTTGGTGGCTAAGTGACTAATTGAATAATATTTCTCTTCTTGTTGACAGTTTGATGTACAATTATGCATGCATGATCTGGAATTTTGCAAAGAAATTGTTAAGAAATTCTATAGAGAGGCCAGCAAAGAGTGGAAACACACGCGTGGTGTTATGTACATTGATTGTGGACCGATATATATAATTATAATAGCGTGGATTTAAGTTCGCGAATTGAATTGGTCGTTTCACAAATATTAGTCAATATTGACTGCAAAGAAATAGCCCTTCGGACATGCACTTCAAACAGCTCAGGATTATGCTACTCGTTCATATATATATATATATATAACTGAAGAAAAATAGTGATGTATTGATCACATGAGAAAAATAAACATCCATAAAAATGATCACATATATAAATACTAAATTATTTAATCTAGCAATCCGTCATGAGTATTTGTCACAAATCATTTTATGAAACGGCAAATATATTAGGAAATTATGCAGACCAAAACTATATTCTATTTTTTAATCCTACAACTGTGAGAATTTCAAAAAGAAAATATATCTTAAATTTTGATGGGATATAATTAATCTCACATGTAAGTGAATATAAAGTCCAAATGTTTATGAGACTTGTATCAGATCAACCCTCTTGAAAAGGGGTTTAATTGATTGATTTGAAAGATAAGATTAATTTGCTTTCCGGACAAAAAAAAAAAAAAAAAAAAAACACACCACTTGTTGCTTGAAGCTAGATTCTTAAACGGCACAGATACATCCCCTAGTTATGCAGTTGAAGACGTGTCGTCTACGGAACTGTGTCTTCTATGCTCTAAAACACAATCAATCGTCCGTCCGAGGATATTTCTGTAGCTTAGAAGATGACCCGATTCCCTCATTTATACATAGAGGCATTTCAGAGTTTCATGAATATTGCTGACCTGCTCCATACATCAATGAAGCAGACAACATTTTTGCTCAAATTTGTTGTGACTATAGCTACCATTCTACTGAAAGGGCAAAAAAAAAGGTTCATTTAATTATTGGACCTCGTACAATGCAACGGATCAGGATATAAAATTTCACCTAAAGAAATTTTTCAACCTCATTGAAGCTTCAGTTATACTCTCTCTATGACCAAACGCACTAACTCTGATATACTCTTCACCACCAGGACCAAATCCTCTACCTGGAACAGTCACTACATGTGTTTTCTGTAGAATTTCATTGAATACATTCCAAGAACTCATCCCTGGAAAATGTACCCATACATAAGGGGCATTTTTGCCTCCGTAGGCCTTCAATCCAAGTGATGCAAATGCTTCGACAAGTATTTTGGCATTCTCTTTGTAGTAGTCAGCCACATTGCCCACAGCCTGAAACAAACATTGGAAAGGGCAAATCTTCAATGGAAAGTTCAGGTTTGTATGCTATAAAATTTTGCCTGAGGAGGCAGTGAGACTGCTACCTCACCTGAATACCATCTTTAGAAAGACATGCCAGCCCTCCAGCCTGAACAATATTGGACGCACCATTGAAACAGGTGCATACAATGCGGTTAAAATCTTTAATGACAGGAAATCCATTAGAGTATGTCAGCTCTTCAGGAACCACTGTCCACCCGAGGCGGACGCCCGTGAATCCAGCGAATTTGGAAAAGGATGAAATTTCAATAGCAACCTACGTACAAAAACGCCGAAATCAATTATCAAACAGTAAAAGGAGGAGCTTCACACCAAATAATCATCTCCGTCAGTGACAACATACCTCTTTGGCTCCAGGAATTTCAAATATTGATCTTGGGCTTTCATCTGATATATAGGCAGCATATGCAGAATCATAAACTATTACGGATCCGTTTGCCTTGGCAAAATCAACCAGTTGCTTTAATTGCCGCCACGATGCAGCGCTACCGGTTGGATTGTTTGGAGAGCAGAAGAATATTATATCTGTTCGTGGAGTAGTAGACAGGTCGGGGAAAAAATTGTTCTCAGCTCCACAGTTCATGTAAACAATGTTGCTGTACTTCCCAGTTTTCTCTTCCAACTTGCCGGATTGACCAACAATCACACTGGTATCGATATACGCCTGTCTCAAGCATATAAAGCCTCTCGATAAGGTGACTGAAACTTGAAAAGTTTTCAAGAGGAAGCAGAGTAGAAATAAATTGGGAACACTATGTATCGTGGAGTTGATAATCTTATTAATTACCTCAATCCCAGAAAAAATTACGAAGGACATGACTGATTAATTAGGAAATTCTTAATTTGCATTGTACATAAGGTTCACTGTAGGTTAATTAACTGAATCCTCATAAAATTACCGGAAAAGAAGGGTCCTGAACAGCCACTGTCACATTGGAACCCAGAAGCATCTGCCAGGGCAAACAAGAAGTCAGGATTTAATATTTATTTATAGTTTATTTTTCACAGCAAACAAAGTAAAGGATGTGCTCGATTAGCTATATTATGCTGATTTTACTGATGCATCTTGGCTACATATAATAAACATTTTTTGTTTACCTGAAGACGTGAAATGTCACATTGTGCTCCATCAGATACAAAAATCTCATCGCCTTTCGTTCCTGTACCTTTGTAAAATGTTTCAGCAATAGCCATCCGTAAATCCTGTGTAGAGAAGCAACCAAATTTTGTTTTGCTATATGATCAAGACAGAATAAGCTGCTTAAGAGTGCATGCTGTAAACAAATTGATTAATAGAGAATACCTCACAATTTTTATTGATATGTCAAGGACAAAATAAAATTTGCTCTTACATTTGTTTTAGCTGTAATCTGGAGATCTCTTATATTTTTGGCTGCCTAATTAATAAAATAGTCAATTTCTCTCTTCCATAGGGTATAGAACAGAGTTCATTTTTTTTTATCCTTCTCTTGTAAAGAACAAAACTTGATCTTTGATTGTTGGTTAGGACGACAAATAATTTTAGTTAGCCGGATTTTGAAGAATAGATTTCATATTCAAATCTCGCTTGTATCAAATCTCAAATAAAATGGAAACACAACTGTAAAGGGGCGGGTACTCGTTTTGTTCTTGGTTTATGCTATTATATATATATAAATTCATCCAAATACTCGACTCCATTGATAAAGCTTTTGCTATTCTTATGTTCATATTGCAAAAATCTCGCTTCTATCAAATCTCAAATAAACTGGAAACACACCTGTAAAAAGGCGGGGACTCGTTTTCTTCTTTGTATATGCTAATATATATATATATATATATATATATATAAATTTATTCAAACACTCGACTCCATTGATAAAGCTTTTACTATCCTTATGTTTATATTGCAAAAATCGGTTCGTTGTTGAAAGTAAACTACTTTGTTTTTTTGGTTGGTCTTTATTGATAAAGCTTTGTTGAAAGTAAACACCCTAGTAAACTAGTCGCTTCTAGTCAATAGCAAAACAATTATATAGGTGGGAATTAATTATTTTCTTGAATTAAAAAAAAAAAATCAAATGGAGCAATAATTTATCAATTGTTTGTAAAAATAATCTATTGTACTACCACTTTCATTTCACAACCGAGCAATTCGTTCAAGCATGTTGATGAAATTAAAAAAATTCTGTGGGAGTGAAAATAATGATTAATTCAGTTGTCCTTGTACATTTAATTTATAAACATATATAGCTCTACACCACGTCAATCGATCTGTGGCCTGTGGGGATCAGAAGGTGGTAATAGGGGTGGGTTTTCTTTTATCAATCATCAAGAAAAGAACAGCACAGCACAAGAACGAAAGGTGCCATTATATATACCATGTTGCCTTGCTCAGCGCCATATCCTGTATAACCTCGTGCAGTTGACAAAGCATATGCATGCTGCAAACAAATATGTAAAACTCGTTAAACCAAAGTTGTAAGGAATTTGCTGATATTATATACGTTCTGTTTCACCAAGTCCAAATGGAGGGGAACTAGTCACCTCAGCCATAGCCGTTGTTATGATGTCTGGTATAGGCTGTGTGGTGTCACCAATTCCTAATCTTATCAACCTTGCATTTGGGTTCTTTTGAATGTGTTCAGACTCACGTATGGATATCTGTTGACCAAGTCCCGATCGAGGGAAAAAAAAAAAAACAATCAATTAGCAATAATTAAGAAACATGTTTCAAATAAGCTAGAATACGAGCGGCAAGAATTAACAAGCACGAATCTAAAAGATAGAGTTATCGCACGTGAGTACCTCAGGAAACAAATATCCACTTCGAAGGTCCTCCATATTAGCATTGCGAGGGAGTTGCGTCCAGTGACCTGTCATCACATTGTTAATTTTGCATATATTGAGACATTAAAAAACTTAACTTTTAACTAATTTGTAGACCAAGATTTTGAGGGAATTTTAAGGAAAAATAGACTAGCAATAAATCCGCTAATTAAACAAACTTACCAGCTCTTCTCTCAATATTGCTGGACTTCGAACTTTAAATACACCCAGCAAATTACATAAACGGAAATCAGTACCAATTAAACACTCTACATAGTGTATAAAGTGAAAGAGAAAAGCTGAAATTAAAACAGAGAAACAGATGGCATATCCATGACTCTGTAACAAAGATATATATATATATATATATATATATATATATATGCATAATCACCTGTGCCAGTTTGTTTTAGGTTGTAATGAAATTGCATTGGGTATGCAAATGCACGATGTCCCTTGAAAATAATACATAACTATTGCGTTTTAAGATATATATTTTTGCTACAGCGCATATACTATTGAGAGAATTCAAGTTTGAGAATAGCTAATGGCATTGGTGGGTTATATACACACACAGAACTTCCGTATGCACGCCACGTAAAGTTGCCAACGTGTTTCTGCAAGCAATGGTCTAAGCAGGGACCATTTCATTCTCTTGTAAGTTTGTACACGTTGTTGGACCAGATTCATTAAGATGAGACTTCTATTCAATTAGCACTGGATAGGTGTGATACCATAGTAGTATGTTTCCACTACAACCAATACCAAAAACAGTCCCTTGTGTTTTTCCACTAGAAAACCTTATCCATCCACTTTTCTTAGAAATTCATGTGTTGAATAAGAAAAAATATTAGCTGTATTTTTTATTCAGTGAATCAAAGTTATCCCATTCATCGAAGTGATCTATCTCAATATTATTATTGATTGACAGAGCAAGTCTTTATGTTTTCTATAATAATAATAATATTATGATTGAATTGATTCACATGGATAGTAAAGTCTCCGTCTAAAAAACACAAGAAAAATATACTACCATAATTTTTCTTGTCACGCGGAGTTGACCTTTCTAAACTTTTAATTGATGGTGACGTAACGCCAAACAAAAACTCAGGTGTAGCGCCAAACAAAAACTCAGGTGGGGACTGGCTGCTGAATCACTAAAGAACGTGATATTTCATTTCTAAGATGTCTTAATGATGCAAGAGCCGCCAAGCATTTGTTTTGTTCTCATGAAGCACAGTAATACTTTGAACTATTTGTATTCTGAAAAGGAAAGAAAAAAAGGCATTTTGTAGAAGGCCACATGGATTGTAACATACTCTATGATTTAATAAATTGAGAATATTATCTTCGTTAATCATATTCAAAGTGTAATAAATATAAACTAACAAGACACTATGATCTTATTGTAACACATATAAGAATATTTATATGGCAAAAATCTTTTAATGACGTTCGGATCCTATTTCTTATTTCAACTTCGTTATAAATTTTTCATGTTTATTTATCATGATATTTTATTTTAATTTATTTCATTTTACATGTTTGTTAAACTTCTAATCATGTTAATATGCGACGGATAATTTAAAGTAATTATACTACTACTACGATATTATTATTTTATTATTACCGATTCGATTACACATCTTAACTATTTACATACATGACCGATTCTATGTCAACTACTCGTGTATGGGTCTACCGGAAGCCAAACCCTCATCTAAGCTACATGCGTCCGATGCTTTCCTCGGTAGTCGGCTTCGCGGAGAAGTGAGCCGTAGTATCTTATTTATCTATACCATAAAGAACTGTATGAGCTACGACTCGGTAAGTGAACGTATGCATGAAGTGTACGTGCATGTGTATATATGCATAAAACACCGATATGCATAATGAATCCTTTTTCCTTATGTCATAAAACATTTCATAAACAATCCGAAAATCCCTTTTTCGTCTTTGGACATATCCCATTTAAGTATTTCAAGGTTTCCATCACATATGTTTAAGCAAACCGGACTCATCCACGGACGCGTCTTACCGAGTCTCTAAAAGCGCACGTCCGCACTTGCCCGACCACCGAACCATTACCATCATCATATGGAAAACCCATGAAGCCCATCCTCATAAAAATCCTCGAAGTCATGAAAATTCTCTTCTTTAAAAGAATTCCGATCGCTATCCAAATCTCATAGCATAAAATGGATTTTCATGACTTAAAACATCATTTATGAGCTTTAGCATGCATATTCATTACGAATGACAATGCATGCTAACAATGATACCCAAGAGCATGCCCTAAATCGTCATGTAATCATGTTATGAAAACACATAACATGTATAAAATTGGATAGCATAACGACATAGATAACATCGACCCATATCAAGCAATGTAACCAACATTGGCGCATCGATTACCATAACCACATTTCTTATCACTAATCACAACTCAAGCATAACCATCATTCATTATTCATTGCATTCCATACATTATTGGGAAGAAAATACAATCATAGCATAAGAGTAAGTAAATAATTACATTTCATTTTAGTTTCATTAACTTACTTTACATTTTAACATTTTCAAATTATTTTTCTTAGGTTACTAACTACCCTTTTGCATCTAGCCTTTACCAAATTAGGTATTAATCCATGTTTTAACTTAATTAGGTACTATTTCATTAATTAGGTGGTCCAATTTCGGTTTGGGCCTTAATGGGCCTAAAGTCCGATTTTTTCTAAATCAATTTTTCTTTAGATTTTCATGAACACTTTTGTTCTAAATCATCCCTTTACCTTATTTTGCACTTGAATGAATTAATTTAGGGTTTGGAACTTACTTCCCAAAATTTCTCATTTAGGCCAAATATTTCACCATTTAAATTCCTAAGATTTTCTTCTCATTTTGCCATACCATTTTAATAACAAGTAGCTTAAATATGTACTCACTATAAGGATTAATTTAATTAAAATTTAGAACCTTAATTCCTACCCAAACCCGTATTGGGCCGTAATGGGCCAAAATTGAGCCCAAGCCCATATAACCCATTTTCTTCAATTTTTAGCAAATTTTTCATTTCTAATCATCAAAAATGCTTATTCAAGTGTGAATGACCCATCAAACCAGAATTAAATTGCTTTGAACTCAAACCCTAATTTGCTTAGTTTAGGTCGAATATAATTCCTAAAAATTAGTGGATATTTCTTCAAGTATAATTTTTCATTTCTAAACATTAATTAATGCTTAAATAAGTTAGAATCAAGTGTCAAAACACCAATTAAACGAAAGAATTCAAAACCTCCAATTGGGTTTATCAAAAACCATAACCCTAATTTTTCTTAATTGAACAATTAAATCAAATCAAGCAATTAAATATGAAATTGACTTGAAATTAAGCATTCTTATGGTGTAGATGAGGTTAACTTACTTGTTTGAGCTCTAATTAGACTCTAAAAAGGTAGATTGGTGAAGGATTTCCCTTCCTTCTCTTTTCCTCTAAATTTTTGAATTTGATCTTCAAATTTTTTGCTTGAGATTTTCGGCTTTCCAATTAAAATTAAACCTTCTTCCACTTATTACGAGGTGGATAAAATTTATTAAAAATGTTTTGGGTGACTTTTAAGTGAAAATTTTGTAAAAGTTTCTTTTGTGTTTTTCAATTTTTCCTCCCCTTTTTATTTTTTCAGAACCCCTATTTATATGAAATTTTGTGCACTTATTGAACTCATCACCACCCTTAATATGGGAAAATCTTAGCCCTTAATTCAATTTTCAATCATTCATTTTCATTTGTCCCAATTTTTAGCCATTTATTCACCTTTTTATTTAACCCTTTCACCTTGATTATTTTTAGCCATGATTTTTATTGGAAGTCCAAATTAAATAATGCTCTAGTTCAGCCAAAGTTGGGAGGAAAATAACAAATTTTGGCCCTCCAAGTTTCTAGACTTTTTGATAGCCCATTCTTTCCTAAGTCCCTTTTTTTTATGCAAATACTCACTTCTAATCCTTCCTTTTTAGTCTTTAGGACTAATTTTTAACTCTTAACATTATCACATAATTTAATTTGGATTATTAGACTTTCAATTTTATGCAATCGAGTCCCTAATTTTATGCAATTTAGTCCCCGATTTTAAATTTCCATTCTATACTTTTCAAAGATCAAATTTCTTTCTAGAATAAATTCAAACATTCATTAAGGGAGTTTTATTTAAATTTTCATAATTTTTTTGTCCTAATTTGAGCCTTCAATTTCTTTATTTAGTGTGAAAATTATACTATTTCCTATAAAAAATACTTTTCAAAAATCAAATTTCTTTCTAGAGTAAATTCAAAAATTCATTAAGGGAGTTTGATTTAAATTTTCATAATTTATTTGCCCTAATTTAAGCCTTTGATTTCTTTATTTAGTGTGAAAATTACACTATTTCCTATAAAAAATATTCCCTAGACTTACTAAAACTAATTTAAATTTTCTAGGCGAGTCTCACACATCCTATATGATTATTATATGCTCTTAAAAGGTTTTTTTCATACTCTTAAGATGCCTAATTAAATTCTTTACCTCTAAAAATACTATTTCTATACTTAGAAAGTTCAATAAAATATTCACCATATGTAGAAAAATTCATAAAATCATAGAAAATAATCTAACACCCTTCTAACATTCTAAACAAAAAAAATATTTTTCATATACAAACAACATGCTTTAATTAATTTTCTCATACAATAACTACTATTCATGTACCAAAAAATACTAAAATATTATTTAAGCATGAAAAACTATTTTGACCCTTCTAAATATTCTTTTAAGTTTATAGTAATTATTTCTCATTCTCAAAAATATATGTATATATTTATTTATTTATTTTCACACGGTTTTAATATTAAACTTTTATTACATTCCTATTTTAGCGCTTACCGGGCATTACATGGATATTATACGAAACATGCTTTTTTTTTCAACATGTGATCATACATGAAGATAATATTTTCGTCTTTACTCCCCTCAAATTGAAGCATGGAGATTGGAAATGTCAAACTTGTCTAACAACGAT